TAAGTACTGAAATGTTGATTTTTACATTTAAAAAAAAAAAACAAATCTTGGAAAAAGAAAACTATAGTAAAATCTAGAAGAATCAAATGACAGAGACTTTATCGTGAGCAAAGTTAAAGCAATTAACTCGATCAGATTAAAATATTCCCACTAGTCCTTAATCTTTTGAATAATTCTGGATTTGACCCTTCATCTTTTAAAAATTCTCAATACGTACTTTGTTACGGAGTCCCACATTGCTAATGTTTACGCTTGATTTGCACTATTAATTCTTTCTTATACCACGTAACCATCGCCGAGCTTGGTTGCGTAAGCTTGTAACTCGAGTGAGGGCAAAATGGAAGATGGAACATGAGCCCTAATTGGTTGGTCCGGTTCTATGTGGCTAGTAACTGGACAAGTCCATTTCAAGTAAAGAGTTGGGCCGTATGGGTTGGGTGAAGGCCCATCTCATATGGTCTCTAAAGCGTAGGGGAACGCGCCAGGCTGGCCTCACAGAGCAGCGATAACCTCCCACTCTTTGTAGTGAAAGGATAACTGACCGGTGCCTCTTGGGTCCAACCGTGGGCCACCAATTGGGCCTAAATGGACCATCTTTTTTTATTTGAAGTGCGTGGAGGCCCAAATTTGTCTTCGTGGGTCCCACACTAACAATTTTCTATACATACACATATATATACATATAACTTCCTCCGTCCGTCCCATCTACATTACTAATTCCAAAGGAATTGGTTGACAGAAGCAGACAAAAAGTAACAATCTCTTGATTTTATTCTAATTGTGGCGATGATTCAAAGTCGACAAGAAGAAGACAAGAAAGCCAACAAGATAATGAAAAAATAATAATAATTATTATTATTTTTAAGGCTGCGCGAAATGGGGAATGCCTTGAAAGATGTCAACTTCTTGTGTCACAAATTTTCATATTAATTAAGAGAAATTGACCCATGATGGTTAAACCTATTATTTTTGTATTCCAACTCACACATATGGACATCGGATTAGGTCTTCATCTTTTATTTTAATTTTACTTCACTTCCTTCTCAATTATCCAACACACTTTTCTATCAATATTTCACCAAATAATTCAAATGGGTGCTCTCCAAATTACATATATACATATATCAAACATTCAAACCTACCATATAAAAACATAGTAAATATGGTAGAATCCTAATATTAAATGGAATGTTTACCCAAACGGTTTAATTTTGCAAAATTAATTTTTAGTAGTGGATAATTAATTTTTATTTTTTAATGGTTGAATTGACTATTTACAGAGGAACGAACAAAACAAAGAAGCGTCGGCATGTGTTTTGGCTTTTGTTAAAAGATAAGAGAGGGAATAAAGAAAGATAATAACGTCTTGTTCGCTGTGCTTAAAAGATAACAGTTTATATATTAATAATAAAAATTATTAGTTTAGAATAATAAAGCACATGGCGTGGATGCTTACTTTGGTGCTTACGTGTTTGTTTTTGGCGTTGTCGTTTTGATAGAGGAGAGAAGAAATGAAATGCATGTTTCAGAATTCCCTTTTTCTCAGAAATCCTCAGTTTTTCTTCCCTTAAAAAAATAAAAATAAAAAAATAAAAAAATTGGAATTTTGCAGTGGGGGGTTTTGCTCGAACACGTATGTCCTGTAGTCATTTGGGGAATCCTCCTCAAAATTCTCCAAAACTGAAATTCAATTTCTTTTTATAAAAAAGCTTCACCAATCTCCGTAAGAATATAATCCTGTGTTTGCTCTCCGTCTTGCATGCTTTGGTTTGCTTTGCAGTGTTCTTCCTCCATTGAAGAGTTTTATGGAGTATTTATTCACCTGCTAGATGCTGCCAATATTTATTCCTTTTAACTACATGTCACCTTCAAAAATTTCCTCTGAATATCCAAAAATGGTCCCTGGGATAAGATCTTCAAAACGTACCCACCCACCCACCAGCTTTATAGACACACACACAGAAAAAAGGAATCAGATTGAAAGAGGTATAACATGAAAAAGCATGTACCGCCTTGAGAAGGGTGCAATCAGTTTCCACTACTCCCTTCCCTTCAAATGGAATTTAAATACATAAACATAACATGAATTAATTAATGACAGAGAAAGAGAAAGTGGATAAAAATGATTTGGTGATGATGTGAATGAGTTATTATTATGATGGCATGGCATGGCATGGCATTGCATTGCATGGCATGGCATGGCCCGTGAGTGAGTTGTGAAGGAAAGGGAAGAAAGCAGAGCATGTTGTGCGCAATAAATGACAAAATCCCAAGTCGTGGTTAAGGACAAACTCCCTGGCCGGCTGGCTGGCTGCTACGCTCGCTGCTGCCTTTCATTTTCCCCAGTTTTCGAAAAGGAGATATGATATGATGATGAGCTAGAAGATTAGAATTTCAGACCACACCCCCTTTTTGTCCTTCCTTCTCTTCTTTTTGACTTCCAAGTTTGAGTGTTGTGTTGGGTTATGCTAATTTTGTATTCCTTCCTCTTTGCTTTCGGTTAATTTCCCTTTGCCCGAGGTCCCCTCCTCCTCCTCCTCCTCCTCCTCCTCCCCCCCCTCCTCCTCCTCCTCTGGTCGTGTCTTTTTCCCTTCTCTCTGTCTCTGAATTCCCCCCTTTTTCCTTTCCTTTTTGGCTATATCTTCCTTTTCTTTCTTCTCTCCGTGATGCAATCCAGGCACATACCCCACGCTTCCACCACACCATTCTTAACTCATTTCCGGACATCTCTATGAGTAATAAAACCCAAATTACGACCACGTCAGGGCACCAGCTTCGGAGGCGCCCATGGCCTGGATTGTTGTTCCCTTGTTCTTCCAAGGCTTTGGGGACTTGCTTTGGTGACGCCAATTGCATGGAACAGTTGTTGGTCCACTGCGCCAACGCCATCGAATCCAACGACGCCACTCTCGCCCAACAAATCCTTTGGGTTCTTAACAACATTGCCCCTCCCGATGGCGACTCCAACCAACGCCTCACTTCCGCCTTCCTACGCGCTCTTGTCACACGCGCTACCAACACTGGCAACTGCAAGATTCTCGCCTCCATCACCACTTCTGCCTTCTTCTCCTCCTCTCTCACCACACACACCTTCTCCCTCATGGACCTCGCCGCCTTTGTCGACTTAACCCCCTGGCACCGCTTTGGCTTCACCGCTGCCAATGCCGCCATTCTCGATGCCATCGACGGTTACTCCGCCGTCCACGTCGTTGATTTCAGCCTGATGCATTGCATGCAAATCCCCACTCTTATAGACGCCATTGCTACTCGTTTCGAGGTCCCCCCTCTACTCAAACTCACAACCGTCGCTGCCGCTGCCGCTGCCGTTAAAGACGCGCCGCCGATGCTGGAGCTGTCGTACGACGAATTAGGTGCGAAATTGGTGAACTTCGCTAGGTCTAGAAACGTGAGTATGGAATTCAGAGTGGTCCCCTCTTGCCATACAGACGGTTTTGCCAATTTAATCGAACAAATCCGAGTGCAACATTTAATTTACGGACCCGAAAATAACGGAGCGCTGGTTTTTAATTGCCACATGCTTCTCCATTACATACCCGAAGAAACACTAAACCCAAACCCCTCTCCCAGTTTCGACATGTCGTCTTCAGTCCGATCCATGTTTCTCAAAACCATCCGTAGCTTAGATCCAACGATTGTGATTCTAGTAGAGGAAGATGCGGATTTCACGTCCACCGAATTAGTTAGCCGATTGAGATCCGCATTCAATTACCTGTGGATTCCTTACGACTCCATGGATTCCTTTCTTCCGAGGAGCAGCAAGCAGAGGGAATGGTACGAGGCCGACATTTGTTGGAAGATCGAGAACGTAATCGCCCACGAAGGCATCCAGCGAGTTGAAAGATTGGAGCCCAAGGGGCGGTGGGTTCAGCGGATGCGCAACGCCAAATTCCGCGGTGCTCCCTTCGGAGACGAGGCGGTTTCAGAGGTGAAAACGATGCTGGACGAGCATGCGGCGGGATGGGGGTTGAAGAAGGAAGACGACCACCTGGTGCTGACATGGAAAGGGCACGACGTCGTATTCGCCACCGCTTGGGTACCTTGCTAACCAAATTAATTCGTTGAAACAGATTGAGTAGACTACTCCGATCATCCATTTGTTGAGTGCTTTAAGATTAAGATTAGGATTAGGGTTTAGGGTTTAGGGTTGGTAGATCCAGGAAAAAGGGAGACCATATTTGTGAAGCAGAGGAGGCAGAGGGTTTGGTGTCATATTGCAATAAAGATTTGACACTCTTTCCTCCGACATTTGGCAGTACAGATTATGGACTCACCCTTTTTTTTCTTCATTTTTTGCTGTTTGCTTTCCGGCATTTTGCACTGTGTAACAACTAAGAAAAACTTGGATTATTTATCACATGCGACCGTTTGTCTATGAACTTCCGCATTACATCCATTTTTCATGCAAATCCAAATCATATATATATATATATATATATATATATAACAAACAAACAAACTTTGTATGTTACAATTTTCATTCAGTTTTCTCTTTCGGGGTTTGGATCCATCTGGGCCACGTTTTACAGAACCAGGCCCATTCTTTCTATACACCCAAAACTCATAGCCTGTGGCGCTGACCTTAATATTGGACTCTATTCAATAATTCAAATATATATCTTTTATTTGTTTGTATTCAAACATTACATTTTATATTTTATATTCATTCAAAACGTGGAATGTGTCAATATTCTATTGGATGTACAATTATATACTTTATTTTAAACTCTATAAACCATTAAATACAAATTCCAACCAACCAACCAAATTTTTTAACAAAACTATCCATTCTTAGTACAGATAAATTGTATAATCTCATAATTTTGACCAAAAAGCTATATTCTTAAAACTAAAGGGGTTGGTCAATTATGAATTAATGATTGTCTATTAATACGAACTTTATTTTTCTTTTCCATGTGACGTTTTATTTTATTTTGTTAAATAAAATAAAAGATCGTGAGTTGAAATTATAATAAATAAGGTGGAGGAATTAAAATTAAAATTTATTATTAAAACTGGTTCCCTTCAACGGAATGCCGACCCAATCGAATCGTCGAGTCGGGCGCTCTATACACACGCAAACTGGAATAGAAGTAGAGAGGGATTAATTGAAGGCTCCGCAATCACGCCGGATGTTACCGTTTCTACCGGTCTTTACGCCGACCCGGCCCAACTTGGTCATGGCTGCAACAAAGGCTTTATTAAAGGCCTGGGAGTTGCTGGCCCAGGAATTCACTGTGGGCCTGGACCTGGAGTCGGTGAATAAAACCTGGTCCGAGGTGAATAGGCCCATTCCCTGCTGCAGATTTTTGAAGTATATGTTGTCGAATGCTCTGGGCGTGATTGGGTCCATGTTAATTGCCACTCTGGGGTCCACACTCTTCGGGCACATCTGTTGTAGCTGGTTTGCATATGTTCTGTTTAAGGAAGGGTCCACTGGCTTTCCAGGGGCAAAGCTGTAAATTCGGTTCGAGAACTTCCCGCAGTGTGAGAATCCGACGGTGTGTGCCGCTGCCACATCATACACCACCACCAAACAGTTTCAGTTGCATGTGAGAAATAATAATTACTTCAATAGCCACGTGTCGAACTTTTATTGGAGCGTGGGGAGTACGTGAGTGATACCTGAGAGAGCGATCATGTCCTCTTGTGTCAGCCCATTCTTAGCAAACAGAGAATTGAGCTGATTGAGATTAAAGGTCGGTGCTGGCAGTCTCCCGTTCACGTCGGAGGCTCTTGAAACCAGGCCGTCTAACCTTCCCAGCTCCACCGCGTACGACGGTCCGCCGGACTGGAATTAGGAGACAGACCGTGAGATTTTGAATTTATTGTATCTTTAAACAGCATTAGTAATGTGTGAGTATGAGTTTATACTAACCAATGCGATGACGTCACGAGTGGCCAAAGCAAGAATATCGGCACAGGAGACTCTGTTTCGACATTGAGGGATGGCATCCAGGGCGGCTTTAGCCTTAATGACGGTATCAAATCCATCTCCGGCAAGCGAGAGGTTGTCGGGATGATCCTTCTCAGCCTTGTTGGATGGAGTGGAAGCAATAATCACAGAGGCATCACATCCCTAAAAATCCAACAAAAAAACATAAAAATCGAAACAAAATTACAGGACTCTGTAACCTCCAGCGTCGAATCGAACAGAACAAGAATGACCTGAACAAAGCAATCATGGAAGAAGAGGCGGAGAGTGGCGGGAACAGTGACGAATGTCTGTTGAAATTTCTTGGTAACTTGGGAGCGGACAATGTTCTCGACATTGGGGCAGATGTTGGCGTAGAAGTTTTGTCGGAGTTGGGCGAGGGTTGGAGAAGGAAAGACGAACAAAGAAAGAAGAGATAGTGCAATGAGGAGGTTGAAGCGACCCATTTGAGGAAACTAATAAAAGTTGAAGGGGAAGAGGATGAGCGTCATTAATGAGGGATCAGTAGGAATATATAGGAGGGGATGGGCTGTAGGGAGGGGCCGCCAATTAGCCAGTTGGATCAAAATTCGGACTAAATAAGAAGAAGATTAATACGGCCGCCTATGGACATGGAGTGTAGCGTTAGGGTGCGATCTTGGAAGCGTTTGGTAGGGGGGAAGTGTAAGAGAAAAATTAGAACACGTAATGAGACGAATATTCAAAGGGATGAAAGGGAAAGATAGAGATTCGGTTTTGGGGTAAAGTGAGCGTTGAGTTACAAAAGGCATAACAAAACCTTAGCATCCAAGTTAAGCCTTATTGTGTAGTGTTGGTGACTAGGTGGGTGCCCTCCTTCCAAAAGGTTGAATTGGAGGACGGTCACACCACCCTCCTTCCCAACCCGACCCAAATAACAGATAAATTACGAATGTAGCTCGTATTCGACTTAATGCTTTTTTTTTTTAAATCCTTGTTTTAAATGCATTTCCCAACTCAATTTGATGCAATGTGTTCGAAATTATAACTTGCATGTAACAAATATTTTTCTTTAGATCTGTATACAAGCACTTATTAAGAAGATATAAATCGGTTTGTCATCGCCTCAACTAATATACTTGGAATTATTTATAATCTATATCTAAAAAAATTATTGATAGTTTTGTATTCGTGATATATCTTCAACTCTCTATAATTGATATGCATGAACATCAAGACTTTTGATATTCAATAATTTATGGCCAAATGTGTTTGTTCATGCATTAAAAAATATGCCATGCATGTTAGAATCAAAAGTGGTTGGCATATTAAATTTTAATTTCTATATCTTAAATAAATGAAAGTAAATATGAGTCGTGAGAATAATTATTCGTTTGAGTATGAAAAAATACAACATATCATATTTCATCCATTTTTTTATTTATATTCGAATTATTTTTTGTTACATTTTTTAAAAAATTTTAAATATTGATGGTTGCAAACAAATTTACAGAACCAACAAATATAGGAACCCATATGGTCCCTTGATTGATTAATTTTTTGGGGTGATTAATGTGACATCTTAACCATTTTTTTAACCATTATCTTCCCTTTATCCTAAGATATATCCGTTTCCCTAATTATTTAATTCTTGAACAACAAGACAAATATTACAGTGGCACTTCTTTTGTCTTCTCCCCGCCTAAATTAATTAAATATTCAAATGCTTAAATTATTTTCAATTCCAACCCATATGCGATCGATGCTCTATTATTTGACGAGCGCCATTTTTTAAAAATATTTTATCACCCAAATACTACATTATTATTACTATTATTATTATTTTATTTTGAAATGACAAACGACTGGACACCCAAGCCCATGAATTGAAAAAATTATCTCAAATATTTTTTAAAATTCAATAATTTTTAGATCAAACTAATTACAGACTGTTAAATATAAATATTAATTATCGGAAGTGTCCTATAAAAGACAATTTATACGATAAATATTCCCACGTCTCATTTCTAGTCACTTCCTAATTTGCACGTCAACATTTAATGATCATTTAAATCAATTCAACTGACTTTTATGCACATTAAATTGACTTTTTATACATTTTTATTTAATGAAATTTAATATTTTGTGTACTAAAAAACCCCAATATTTTTGTTACATCCAGCTAAAAATTTCAATTTTTGTTTTTTCTTTTTTTTTTTTAATGAAAATTAGGCCAACAATTGGACTTTGTAATTAAAATTAAAAAAAAAAAACAACGAATTAAATGTTAGCCCTTCAGTGAAGTTGATAAGAATGTAGGCCATGCATACGCTCCAATCCAATCACCTTCGTCAACAAAAGCTTCTTTAATCAATTGCGCCGCCGTGGCTGGCGGCTTGACTAAGGCCAACCGCCTAGCTATGGCCAAGCTTGCAACTAGTAGTTCAGGATTCTCTTACGATTGACTCATCCTTCAGCAGCCATGGTATTAAATAGAACCTCATTAAATTGGTTGTTTACTTTATCTGAATGAAAATGAATAAGAATTAAAAAAAAAAAATTAGAATTGGAATTTAATTGTTATCAATATTTTAACGACCCAGATCCACTGCTAGTAGATGTTGTTTTCTATGGACTTTTACTTTGGGGCTTCTCCTCAAGACTTTAAAATGCGTCTACTAAGAGAAGTTTCCACACCCTTATAAATAGTGGTTGTTCTCCTCTTCAACCAATATGAGACATCACAAATATATTTAAACTAACAAAAATATATATATATATTCAAGGAGCTTCCTTCAATTATTCACGAATATTACAATATATATATTTTTAATGTGATGTCGATTGTAAATTTTAAAGACAAAAATCTATAATTAATATGAAATGTAGGGTTGTTAGTTAACAAGGGCTCTATTTATAAACATAAAAGTCAACTCTTGAAAGATAAATAATATGCAATATATATGTTTAAATAGACTTCTTTTAATATTGGGCTTTGGGCTCTCGATTTGATTCCCATTAGCGCAGAAGAAAGCCCAAGTGTTTAATTTTGGGCCTTAATGGGCTTTATAAAGAAAATGGAGTTGGAAACTAAAAGGCAGGGCAACGTGTGACCTGATTGTGTCGTGATTTGGAATGGTCTTGTCCTTTACAAATATCCATCCAATGAATAGAAGAGAGAAAAAGATGAAGTTAGGAGGTCCACAAGTACAATAGTTGTGTGAATCCAGTCAGCAAACAAATTCTCCAACAGCTGGTGGGCGCAATGGATAACAACCCCCACCACACCAACCCAACCTAACTCCAGAGTTGAGGTAAAGGGCAAGGCGACAGCCGGGACACGCCTAAACCCTAACTCTCCATTAATATCTCCGTTGGGTGGGTTCGGGTTCGGGCGCTATGGGGCCCTTGTTTAAGACATCTGTGCGTGGCTGCAGTTCAAAAACGCTGAACCATCGCCCCCTTCCTTTCCTTTTGCTATAAATTTCTTATGATGCCTATGCCTTTGGTTACTCACTCTGCTCACTGACATGACAACTCTTGTCTCTTAATTCTACCCTCTTCCTGCTCCTAAATGTCTATCTACTTTTCTCCGACCAAAAAAAGAAAAAAAAGGAAGAAAAAAAACATTTGCTATTACCATTATTTCCAATAATTTGTTTACAAAAAAACATAAGGAATTTTAAGTCGAGGTAGGAATGTGGAAGAAGTAAAATAGGATAATCTTCTTTTCTTTATATTTTACAAAAATTATATAAACATGCATAAGAGTGGGTAGGGTCAGTACTGGAAGTTGATATTCGATAATGCAACTCAATGGTAAAAGTCGATACTTAATAAATAAACAAACATACATACAAATGCGTAGGGTCAATACTCGATCCAACCACTACTCCTCTTATCTAAAAGTTAGCTATCGATAGGCTCGTGACAAGCATTATACAATTTAAAGCCCAACCAACATGTATGCATAGCCAAAAAACAGATGGACTTTCAAGTGTAGATAAGAAATTTTAATGAGTGGTTAATTAAGGCAAGTAATTGAGGTTAGTTGCTAAATTTTCTTCCACTACATAATTTAAATTATAAATAATTTAGTGGAAACTTAAGATAATAATTAAATGGGGAGTTTAATAAAGCACATGGCCGAAGATATAAAATGAATGTATTAAAAAAAAAATGAAGGTAAAAGTTAAATAAATGATATAATCCAATACATGGGACCGGAAGGCGTGGGTGTTGACCCGAGACTCCACAATCCACCGACAAGGTAGCAAAGCAAGAAGATTCCCCTTTCTTTCCGCCCTTGATTTTATTATCTAAATTATTATCTTATTTATTTACCCATAAATATTTTAGAGTTTAAGAGGTTTAACTAAATTGTAGAAATTAAAGGAGTTTCTTTTTACAAAAAGTTTCCAACATTATATTTTTAGGCTACCGGGAAAAGCGGGGAGGAAGGGGAGGGGGGTCCGGGTGGATCCACCGCCTCAACGGGCTGCTCCACCATACGCCGGCAAGGCGTGATTCCCTGTCCACTTCTTCTTCTCTGGGTGTCATGTTTGACACAGTGCAAAGCGTTGGTTTGGTAGCAGAGAAGAGAGAATCTCAATTTATAATCTGCAGCGGGCGGGACCAAAATAGAATCTCCGGATGCTCCACTCTTAACCCACTAAATCCATTAACATACTACTATATATCTGTATAATTTAATTATTAATATTAATAGTTAAATAAAGTGGAAATATTAATAGTTAAATAAAGTGGAAATATTAATAGTTAAATAAAGTGGAAATATTAATAGTTAAATAAAGTGGAAATAGGATTGAAACGTGCGAGGGGTGGAGCCCATGAATGAGTAAAATTAAATAGGAGGGAGGGGTAGGGAGGGGTTTAGCAAATGGCACCCACGTGGGCAAGACAAATGGACGGCCACAGATAATGATCTGGTTCGACTTCCTTTGCCGGTTTGGATTCAACATTACAACTCATTTCCAACTTTCCTGCTTTCAAATTTCGGTAGTACACTTATTCATCATCCAATTCACCTGCTTTTCCACATTATTTCTATTACATTATTGTATTCATTCATTTCCTCTTCTTTATAGCACCTTCCTTGTTGCAATTTAAAGTAAAGCTTATAATTATAAATGTGGTCTTCACCAATTTACTCACCTTTCCACAAAAACACAAACTCTCCATCCATTTCTTTACTTCAATAATGCTTCACTCCTCCTTCCACCTAAACATGCTTATTAATAATTCCAGCAAACTTTTGACTGACCCATAAAAAAAAAAGTGACTCATGAGTACAAATCCATATTCAGTTCATAAATATTATAATTATTATAATTATGATTAGGATAAAATATTTTTTAAATTAATACAATGTTAATAAATGTAACTATGGGAATAAAAATGTTTTAAACCTTAAACCATGTTTATCCTCAATAATTGCGTCACTTTGGAGTTATTAGATTACGAAAATAGACAATAAGTTTAAAGTAAAAAAGAACAAGAAAATGCAGTTCTGTCTCATTATTTTGTTTTGGACCATTATTCATAGAAGTAAACTTATATCGTACGGCCAT